TGGGTTCTTCGGAAGTGGGTTCTTCGGAAGTGGGTTCTTCGGAAGTGGGTTCTTCGGAAGTGGGTTCTTCGGAAGTGGGTTCTTCGCGCGAAGCCGCTGATTGCAGACAGGGCCTCTTTCTCTCTTTACTTGGGCATATAGAGCTCCGACATGCTACTGCGCTTGCCGGCAGGATGACCACGTGCAAGACGGGGCGCTGCCACCATCCCCCCCCCCCACTCCGCCGCGTGTCCTTTTAAGCGCATATTCTGTCAAGACCCTCATCAGCCCAACAGACGGAAACCTGTGACGGATATTTATCGACGCCGCTAAACGGGGACGTATCTGCAGGATACGATCTCAGGGACGGTGACCGATCGTCATATTTACTAATCCAGGACGGTGTGACAGTTGGCCCATGGCCAGGGCACGTCTCGCCAGCAGCGAAGTTGCAGATGGCAGAGTACCCCCCATCCCCAGGCCCCACACCCGCCCTGCAGGTGTTTATTTGGGCCATTCACGTTCCGCTTGAGCCCGGCCCCCTGATGGCAGTGCACTGTGGGGTCAGAGTTGCTCTCCACCCCCTAGCGTCAAAACAGCACAACAAGCCGGGCCATCTGTCGCCATCAGCCGACGTCTCGTCTACCAGGTACGGGGGGGGGCGTGAGGCCTCACAGCCGGCTAACCGCCTCCCGTCACCTTGTCGGGTCAGGTGACTGGGAGGTGGAGACCTGCGGAGCTCTGTCCAAAAATAACGGCCGACCTACGTTTCCTGAAATCACCATAATGCACAGAGCTATACTTGGGCGCCACCATTTTTAAAACGTATTAATTTTCAGTCTCAAAACATTTTTTTATATTTAAAAACATTTTAATTATAGAAGTTTTTCTTTAAAAAATTGCAGCACTAAACTTAATGTTTTATACAAAAAAATGGTTTTAAAGTATTGCTGCAAAATATTCATACATATTTAACTAAAAGGGAATTTTGACAGCTTGGAAAGTCATTTAGCTGCAAAAACCAAGCTGGGTAATTAGGTGTGAAATACCATCTGAAACCGTCTCCAAGACGATCAGCTTGAAATGATCCTGAATGTTGACACTGGTAAGAGCTTTTCTTGTAGCAAATGAAAGCTTTTGCTGCAAAGGGAAGAGAGAGAGACCTGGGAGCTAATTCGCTCTTCACACACGATATGGCTGCAAATTGGCTCCTCCCACTCAGAGTTCAGGGTCACTTTTAGCATCGAGCAAGGAAATTTCACAGAAAGAGCTGAGAGAGGATTGAGCCATCAGCACATAATGTCCTGTGAAAATCAAACACTGACCCTGGGCGCAGTTACATAATAGATGCAAAACCTCATTTAACGTTCATCTAGCCTCTGCTCTCCATACAGTGCACAGGCCAGCTCATCTGCAGATTCTGAGAAACGGATCCAGTTTCCCTACATGCATAAGTGAGCAAAAACACATCTGCCAAAGCAGTGAATCTAACCAGCATTCAACAAGATGAACACTGTAGTTAAGTGCTGAATTTCAAAGCTGGACGATCCTTTCAGTTTAAAAAAAAAAAAAACGTTACACCAATATCTGAACAAAGAAAAAAAATGCCACCTATATTACCTTCTTACTGGTTTTTATTAACAACTCAGTATGGAAGCTACATTAAAAGTGTATTATATTATTACAAAACACCCTTCAGAATCCACCAAACTGATGATTTGGGCTATGACCCCACTGTATTCATCATTTCATATGTATCCCAGTGATATAATACTGTATAGCACTGTCCAAATACAGCAGCTGTCATTTTATAGCTCCGAGAAATTATAACATAATAATTCTATATTATAAATTCTATAGTCTATAGAGATATACTATGTTTCACATTTTAAAAATGGCAGTCATATATATATATATATAAAATACTCCTCAACATACTGCAGTTTGCTGGATATCAGTTTCAGGACATTTAACTCCATAATCCAAACGATTAAATTAAAATCCGGAAATTCCTTTCGGCAAGGAAGTGTAAAGTTGGCAGACAGATAACATTATGAACAGGCTCCTATGATCCCAGCTATGGCTGCAGCAGACACTAATCTCACATCACAGAAGGAGATGGATGCAAAACAAGCTGCCTTAGATGTGGCAAGTTGATTATTATTAGATGTTGATTTGTTTTTCAAACAACCTAAAGATGTTTTTAGTTCCATAATGATTTATATAATAAAGTTTGGGTAATTTTAGTAATTTAGAAATGGAGCAGTTTTGACTCCTGGTTTCAGCAGTTTAATTCAATGTATTCACAAGTTTGCACATGACTTGTTCGTGTATTCCCTAAAAAAATGCACAAATTACCTAATTATTTTTAAAATAATTTTTTTTTTCAAATGATTGATACCATATTTGTCCTATTTATCATTTATTATTCTATACAGGTTGGTCCTAAACATCACTTTCATTTAGTTTGCATTTATTTTATTAACATTTAGACCAACCGAGACAACTGTGGGGGAAAAAATGACACATACTGCCATCTAGTGCCCCAACATCTTACTACACAGGGGTATCATAATCAATTGACCGAAAAAAACACCAAAATAAAGGTACTACATTATACTTCAGATACCCGGTCTATTGATGGTGTTATTTAACCCAACCTAATTTGGCACACCTTCTACAACTCTTCAAAGATATGTAAAGTCTGTTTAAATCGCCGATCTTTGCGAAGTGTCGTCAATCACAAAAGCAGCTTGTTGAAGCCGTGTAATTACGGCATTTTTTTCCATCTAGTTTCTGATTCCGAGTCAGACCAAACAGAACATAACGGCATCTAACCAATGTTTATTATACACTTCTTTAAAAGTACTTCTTTTTGAACGTGTTTCTCCATTAAACTGTCATAATATCCGGGGGGTTTCTAGCTGAAAACATCAAGGGCTAAGTCAAGTTTACCTGGGGCTTGCCTTTTTTGTTTTAGAAGGAAGATTGGCATCAGGGCAAAAATACTCAGGATTAGACTTAAAATACTCGGGGGTATAGCCCCGAATGATCGGACCTAACGACGCCCATAATATCCTTCATTCATTCTACACAGCTTATCTATAAGTGAGCCCTATTTTGCCAGCAGATGTCACTGTGTGAAACATCTGCCTTCGAAATATTGCATCTGTTGCCGATTCTACCTGTCATGAACCCGTTTTTGCCATCACTACAGGACAAATGCCATGCTCAGAGCTGTAAGACGCTGAAAACACGATTTTATTCAATTTAAATGAAAAGAGATTTTTGCATCACACTTACATCAAAAATCGCGCTTGCTCCGGGCAGATGTCTTTATAATGATGACTAGCGTTGATT